CCGGCCGGCTTCTTTTTTTTTTTTTTTTTTTTTTTTAAATCCCATCCGGTTATTAAAACATCAAAAAATTTTTTTTTTACTAGTTTTCAAAAATTGACCCGAAAACCAATTAATAATTTTGCATGATCTAATAATATAAATAAATACAAAACTTGTTAAACTATATCAAGTTATTGGAAAATTGTTTTTAGCATTAGGTAACAGTAACGTCTAATGAATTCGAATTTGAAATTTTGCAACATTGTTAGCGCGTGAATCGTATCCTAACGCTAACTTTTCGTGGCTTAATAATCCTGTTGTGGACAGGGTGCATGCGTACAATTCTTTCGCCATTCTTTTGTATACTTATCCGCTATATTGTTAAATTCTTCCGTACGTACGCACGCACGTACATATGTGTCGATACTATCGTGTTGAGCTTATTTATTTTGGATTATCAGACAAACGAATTAAAATCATCCATGTGGATAAGCTAGGTAGTACGTTCTAAAAATTGAATATTTTCTAATGTCTTACAATACCAAATTTCGTTCTGATGTTATACAATAAACAAGCGATGCAAGGCATCTCACTCGTGTGACATCAGCGGATGTGAAACGATAAGTAAATGCTGCATACAACCTTAAATTATGTTTATTGTCTCTTACTATTTCTTTTCCTACCCTGTCTCTTGTGAGTTACCCTTTGATGTGAGCCCAGAAGGATGCCGCCATTTTCAATATGATCCGATGAAGGAATTTGAGTAAAGTTTTCATTTAAAGAGGATGAAGGAGAATGCGCATAAATGCGCTGTTTATAATTAGATATATGATCAATGTTTGCGGAATCATTTGATGTTGTATAATATGCGTGTTCATAATGATCACGTTTATTAAAATTGTCGTCATGTCCTGAAATTTTCATGCTTTGACCATCTTCAACATACTCATTATAAGCACCAAAGTTGTCGTAATTATCACGACTACTTCCATCCGATTTAAGACCATAAACAGGATCGTAACTCATATACCCGGCGTCGCCACGTGACATTATATCAACACGATAAAATACGGAATATGATTCCGTTCCCACGCTATAAAGAGTCACGGTTAATTAAACGGATAAATATAAATGAAATTTAACGATTGCATAAGCGTGCATGGATATCAACCTAGAACGTATTTCAATTCCTAGAACTGCCAAAATCGATGCAAGTGAAAAAATTAGGAAAACAAGCTGTATTTATTATTTATATCGTGTAATTAAAATTCACAAAAGTTTACCTGTGATTTTAAATACGTGACCACAAGAATGCCTAGAAATAAATCAAATTTAAGCATCAATGCTATGCATGAAAAATGAGATAATT